ATATGAGAAGTGGAGTATGACCGAGCAATTGTTAGGAACACTATTTTGAATTTTTGTGAGAGGATTAAAAGATAACTGTAGTTGAAACAATTCTAGATGGAATATAGGAAGGATTTATTTTTGAAAAAGATTATATGATTAAATTGTTTCGGCATCAGCTGTACCATCTCATAACCCCCTTTAAAATCATTGTTTAAGTCCCAATTGAGAAAGAAGAAAAAAGTCATCATTTGAATATCCTGGTGTCTAGTAGCTCTCATATGGCCCACTGGATAGGTTTAAATTGTCTACTCCTAGGGTGTCTATAAATTTTCCATTTCATGTTAGTGGATTAAAGGATTCAGGTTGTACAACCACTAAGTATAAACTGGAATGAGCAAGTGATATAACATCTATTCAGTTGGACAAGCTTACAGATCTTTCACACCTCAAATTGGATTTAGTACTAAGCTACATCGAGTTATGAATAATGTATTCCTATTTTGTATGTCAGATCTAGTATGGACCAAGCTTTTGGATTCTACTCTTTAATATGATTTAGTTCTAAGCACATCTTGTAATAAGGGGACACGCTATTTCTTTAGATTCTTTTGGTAAATGTATGTCAACTTTGTAAACTTAGTGTGAGTAATGAATAAGAATCATGTATTTTTTCCTATTAAGTAAAATAGTCTCTATGCAACTGCTGTGCCTATACGGTAGGAATGAAGGTAGTAAATGTGAGTTATATTCTACTAATTTAATGTAATTACTTTAAAAGCATTTTTAACATTCTTTAAGAGAATGGCATTTTGAGTAGGTTTTCTGAATGTTAATGTTATCTTCTGTGGCTAATCTTTCAATGGCATTTATACCTATCACTTGCCATGTAATTGTATATTCCCACATTTTATGCGGGCATCTTTGACATTTACCCATTAATTACATAGGGGTTAGTGCCCTCTTGTTTCATACTTCTTGCAATGCTAATTAGGGTAATTAATTACATAGTTGACGAGAAATTAGAAAACAATTAGGGATTAAAGTAAATCTATGTCACTGAAATTTATCTCTTGGAACCAAAGAGCTTTTAAAGTCTACTCAACAGGCTTCATTGAACAAGGATATAAACAATACTGCTAGCAAGAAGGAATGTGCTAAATGAATGACTGATTCACACCCAAGGGTGTGGACAACTGGTCAATGAAGTGGGTGCAAACCTTGAAGACCAAGGTTCAAATCCCAAGTGACACAAAAAATAGTAGGTGCCTTCTTCCCATCTGCCAAAATCTTGATAGGCAGAATTACCCGGTACCTGTGCTGGTGAGAGATAGCAGGTATCCGGTGGAATAGTCGAGGTGCGCACAAGCTGGCCCGGACACTACCATCATTAAAAAAAAAAAGAAAAGAAGATTGACCGATTGAGAAGAGCTCAGACCTCTAAAAGGGTAAAACCTGAGTTTAATCTGCCGCTTGAGCAGCAGAGGAAAGATCAATAGTTAGTAGCCAATCTGAAAGGCAAATGTATAAAACTGAATATCATGCAAAGAGAGAGAGAGGGGAGGGAGAGGGAG